ACAAGCCACAGAATGGGAGAAGAGATAGGTAATACATATAAGTGGCAAAGGATTGATATCCATAATATCAAAAGAACTTCCACAAATCAAAAACAAATCGGCCTTGAATCTGACAGAAAAAGTGGGCGGAAGAACAGGCTGTTCACAGAAGATGTCAAAACAGCAACAAAGCCACAAAAAGATTCCCAACTTCACGAGTCACCAGGGAAATTTAAACTAAAAGTAAACCAAGACACCACTCCACTTACTAGTTTGGCTAACATCTCAAAACTGGCAACACCAAAAATTTGTGACTATGTGAACCAACTGGGACTCTTAACCACCACTGTAGGGGTGTTAATTGTGTAGCCCCTTCAGAGCTGTGTTGGGCAATGTCTACTAAAGCTATATATATTCCTGCTCTGTGACTCGGAAATCCTACCCCTTAGAATGCACCCAATAATGATGTTCAGATATACTAACAAAATACATCAAACGCCTAGCAATAAACAAAACAAATATGTGCAAGACTTCTACACAGAAAATTTCAAAAGACTTTGGAGAGAAATTAAAGAACAAGTAAATGCAGGGTTGTACAGAATTCATGGGTTGGGAAATGGTATTATTAAGATGCCATTTTCCCTGAATCTACAGATTCAGTAAAATCCCAATGAAAACCAGAGGAAGTTTGTGTGTGGAAATTGACAACCTGCTTTATAAATGAATACAGAAATGCAGAGACAAGAACAGCCAGGACAATCCTGAAGAATCCAAATCTAGCCGGTGGACCTGCTGTAGGCCATCAAAGCCATGTCCTTCCTCCCAAAGCCCATGATCTGTGCCACGCCACCTGCCTCCCAGGACGGTGAACACTCAGGGGACTGGAAGGGAACAGCAGCTGTGGGGGAGGGGGAGCAGCGGGGCAACCATGGCACCTCCTCTTCCTCCACTCTAGAACCCAGAGCTTCCCTAAAAGCTTCAAGTTCTTGGTCACGGAGCTCACGTCACAGGGGCAATGAGAAGGGTGCAGTTTTCACAGGTCACGAGTGCTGGGACTGCGTTTTGAGTTGTCTCTAGTTCCTTCACGTGGAATAAACAATCATGGTTGATTGCAGACATGTCTTGCCAGAAAAACTGCAAACTCTTCCCAAAAAAGAACTTGCATCTTTGACGCAGGGCTGGGGCCACCTCCGAGATGCCTGCTGGCCCCAGGGTTCTGCGAACAGCCCCCATCTGCTGCCTTGGCCCAACTCTGTGTCTCAGCAAGGGGACCGTGACAGCAGAGGCATGTCCTTAACAGAGACTGAGCCAGGACTGTCAGTGTTCACAATGGAGACAACCTTAACGGGATTTTGAAAAATGACCATCGGTGCTTGAAATTGCCAGTGTCCACAGGGTAGCAGTGCGGAACTCAACAAGGAGAAAGAGCTGGACATGAGGGCCCAAAGCAAGTGCCAGAGGCTGTCCTCCCCACGTTCCGGAAGGCTGAGCTCTGCACGTGCTCAGTGAGGCCTGCCGGTCTACACAGCTCCCAACAGCAGGAATCCAGCATGGAGGTTGGAAGCCTGTGTTTCTGGAGGAAGCCCAGGACCTTGCTTTCCCCTACTGGAAAACTCTTGGCTCTAACGAGGCAGCTGAGGACAGCTGGATGCCAGAGACGGGCACATGGCGGAGGCATCCTGGAAGGGCCGTTGTTGTGGTCCCTCTCTGGATTTCTCTAGCACGCTTCCTGTAGGAGAGGCCAGGCTTAGCAGGCTGACCATGCCTCACAGGCTATGTAACAACCCCACGCTGTGCGCCTCTGGGGCTCCTGTCAGCATTCCAGGAGTGCTGATCTAGACACGCTTCTGAGCACGTCAAACAGCGCTGAGTTGGGATTAGGAGTCCTGGTCCCCAGCCCTGGCATTGCCCCTCACCCGCTGGATTGTTGGAGCTGCCAACCAATGTCCACACACCGTGTAGTGTGAAACAGAACTTGCGGTGTGTATCGTGGCACAGAGGGTTAAGCTGCCACTCGGGATGCCCGCATCCCATACTGATGTGCAGAGCATCGAGTCCCACCTCTGCTTCTTCCAGTCCAGCTTCCTGCTAACGTGCCTGGGAGTCAGCAAAAGGTGGCTCAAGTGCTTGAGTCCCTGCCACCCATGTAGGAGACCTGGATGGAGTTCCTGGCTCCTGACGTTGGCCTGGTTCAGCCCTGGCTGTTAACAGCAGGCTCTTGGAGAGTGAAATGGTAGATGGAAGATCTCGATCTCTCTTTCTCCCTGTCATTCTGCCTTTCAAATAAATAGATCAATAAATCTTAGAAAACAAAAGCACAGCAGTTACTCTTTCACAGTTCTGGAGGCCAGAAGCCTAAACTCAAGGCAGCAGCTGGAACCATTCTGTCTGGAGGCTCTGCAAGGATCCATTCTGGGCCTCTCTCCTGGTTTCTGGTGGCTGCGGGTGACACTGGCACTCCTGGTCTCGTAGACACATGGCTCTGGTCACTGCGTCCTTTTTGCCTGTATCAAGTCTCCCCTGCCTTTCTCTTATAAGGAGCTGTCATGGGATTCACACCAGGGTAATCCCAGAAATTTCATTAAATTAATCCCATCTGCAAAATCCGTTTTTGCCAAATCAAGACGTACCCACAGATGCAAGGGTAAGGACAGGGTGGATCTGCCTAGGGGCCCCCTCTCAAGCTGCCACAGTGACCATGGGTGTCCCTTCCGCTCTCTGCTCTTGACCTTCTCATTCTAAAATCATGAGGATGGCAAGAGCTCATCACTTGCTATGATGCTGCAAGTGTTTGCTTGTTTTTGCAGACACTGATGGATCCCAACATCTGGGCATCAGTCTGGTGAGCAGCGCCATGTACAGCACATGCAAAAGCCAAGAGACATTTCTCAGTTCTGTAGGACTTCCATTGGCCATTCCACTCCCCGCTCTCCCTGCGAGGCTGCGTGGGGAAAGGGCTTGTGGTCAGACATAAACAGGAACGCTCCATTCAACTTGGCCCCTACGTGTGGAGGCACACTGTCACCAAACAGGAGAGCAAGAGGACAGGCTGACAAATCCACCTGTGCAGGGCCACGACCTAGGTGAGGCAAATGAAGCCCTGACTTCAGGCAAGACATTTAAAGGGGAGCCAAAAACCCCTCAGGAATCAAGATAAAAATGTTTTCAAAAATCTAAACTATTTTTGCATTCAATGTGATTTTAAAATAACACTTCAATAAAATATTAAAAAAAAAATCTTGGAGGGGCCGGCACTGTGGCACAGCAGGTTAGGCAGCAGCTTGCAGCACCAGCATCCCCTACAGGCACCGGTTCAAGGCCCGGCTGCTCCACTTCTGATCCTGCTCCCTGCTGTGTGCTTGGGAAGGCAGCAGACGATGGCCCAAGTCCCTGGGTCCCTGCCACCCACAAGGGAGTCTTGAAAGAAGCTCCTGGCTCTTGGCTTTGGTCTGGCCCAGCCTTGGTTGTTGCAGCCATTTGGGGAATGAGCCAGCAGATGGAAACTCTCTCCTCTTCCTCCTCCTTCTCTGTAACTCTGCCTTTCAAATAAATCTTAAAAAAAAAAAAAAAAAAATCCATGCTCCTGTCCTGTGGCTTCGCTCAGCCCTCCCCCAGACCTGGCCTCACAAGTCTCGCGTGGAAGCACTGTCTCGGGCTTCCCTAGGCCTCTCCACTTGCTGTCACGCCGTCTCCTCAGGGATTTCTTTTTCTTAGTTTTTGTGTTTTCCTCCAATCTTATACTAACTTTAGGTTAAAATATAGTCCATAAAATATATGGACTCAAGTATCTTAATAAATTGCAAATGTTGACACATTTCAAAATGACATCTATGGAAATAAAATGAGTTATTTCTGCTCATTAGTCAGCATCTCCAACAATTTTTATTTATGCATTGACTTGGGTATGAAAATATTTCTTTCCACATTTTCTAGCCAGGTGCTGGCATGATCTACAGAGCTATTAACAGACCATGCCCTAATGATTTGCCAACTTTTAACAAATCAATAAATCATTTGTGCAGGGATGCCTCTGAGTGAGCGTCAACGCACACTTTATACACACATATATTTAACTGTATTATGAAGCTTGTTCTTTACATGGCTTTGGGGCTGTAAGAACACTGAGGCTGGGTGGACAATTTAACCATCCCTAGCCAGAGAAGGCAGAGGAGACTCATGTGTGCTGTTGTATGGAATTTCAGCCGGCGTCAGCACGGAGAGGTGGAAGCTACACCTTCACCTGCCGGGGTGAGGCCCCAGCAGGGTCTCGAAGCCTCTGCAGTGGAGGTGCTGCTGTCCCCGGCTTTTGACAATATGTCTATCGCTAGAGAGCGGTGTGCTGAGATGCTCCTACCTACACCCTCTCACCTTTGCAACAGCCAAGGACAGGCAGGGCAGGCGTGAGTCACCCCAGGGTGACCCTGCAGAGGCCTGGGTACTCAGGTCCTCCCTCAGCCTCCCCCCAACAGCAGCATCATCGAGGCGCCAGGCACCATGCAGGTCCCATAGCCCAGCTGATCCCCAATCCTCCCGAGCAGGGCGTTTGCACCACCACTGTGCAGATATGGAAACGCTGGCTCAAGTTCAAGGTCACACAGCTCTAAGTGGCAACACTCGGGTTCACACCTGGCTGGCTGGTCTACGGCAGGGGTTTCCTAAAATCCCCGTGAAGGGACTTCCCTCTCCTCCAGGGCGGCATCCTTCCAGGCAGGCAGAGTGGGGGCTGGGACCCCAGCAGAGGGTGGCGGCCCCTGAAGTTGCTGCTGCAAGCCGGGGCCTCACGCCCTCGTGCTCATGGTGGGTTCTGGGCCTTCAGTGTCCTCACCTTGTCTGATGCACCCCAGAGGGGCACGCAGCAGAGGGCTGGCTATCCCCGTTTCACAGGCAAGATTCAGAGAGGTCAAGTGATTTGCTCAAAATCACACAGCAAAGGCAAGGACAAGATCTGTGTGCTTTTGGCAAAGACAAGAGGAGGAAAGGAGGGGAGGCTGGGGCTGGGGTGGGCAGACCAAAGCACTTACCTTTCCTGAGATGGTCTTGATCTGCTTGGAGCTCAAGGGCTCAAAGTCCACGCCGATGTAGCCCTCCATGGCCGCCAGCAGATGCTTCCGGAGGCAGCGGGACGAGTTGGCTTCCGTGTGCACCTGCTCCCACCAGGAGGGCTCGTACCAGCCCGGGATGATCCACTGGTATTTACTGCCGTACATGTTCTCCTCATAGGCCTGCAACAGATGGGGTGACTTGTAGGCTCCGAGAGACACACGCTTGCTCAAGACTCGGTGCCCTGTAAGCAAGGCAGAGGGAGCCCAGGCTTCTCTTCCCAGAGAGCTCACTGATTTCCCTTTTACCTGCTTGCTTTCCTCCTGGTTCTCTCTCAGAGGACCCAAGGGAGTTTACCAACATGTATAGCAAAGTTACAAACACAGGCTGAAAACAAGGAGGCAGGGGCCTCGGAAAATAGAAACCAGGCACGTTTACCGGAGGTAAAGGAAAACCTAGAAGAGCCACCCAAAGGCTCCCACGCTATCCATCAGTAAGCGTGTTTCACCATGAACTTCCTGGCTGCCCGAGAGAAAAGGGCAACAAGATTATTTACATGGCTTGCATTACCAGTAAGAAAGACACCAGGTATCTCAGGGAGGCAATGGTTTCTAGTCTTTAGACCCCAAAAAGTGCCTGAGAGAGAGAATACTGTTAAATTACCATCAGGGTACCCACAGCATCTCTACAGCGGAGCTCCTCATGCTAATTTAATAGAGCTCTTTTTTTAAAAAAAAAGATTTTATTTATTTTATTTGAGAGTTAGAGTTACAGTGAGAGAGAGAGAGACGGAGAGAGAGGTCTTCCTTCCATTGGTTCACCCCCCAAATGGCCGCAACGGCTGGAGCTGGGCCGATCTGAAGCCAGGAGCCAGGTGCTTCTTCCTGGTCTCCCACATGAGTGCAGGGACCCAAGGACTTGGGCCATCTTCTACTGCTTTTCCAGCCCACAGCAGAGAGCTGGACAGGAAGTGGAGCAGCCAGGACTCAAACTGGTGCCCATATGGGATGCCGGCGCCACAGGCGGAGGATTAACCTACTGCACTACAGCGCTGGCTCTAATAGGGCTCCTTTTCAAAAGCTGAGGTTATGCCTCAAAATGTAACCCAGAGGAAGGGATTTTCACAGGGCCAATTGAAAGCGTGAAGTTTATATGAGATGCCACTTGGCAAAGCAAAAAGTCTCTCTGAGTCTTGACCTAAAGCACAGTGTACATAAATTCAGATCCTAGAACACGGATTTGTAAATGTCCCTTACAACCTGCACGTTCGCAGGCATCTTAATCGACTGCCATCCACATTCACCCGGGCAGGTGGTCAGGGAAGGGTCGAATCCCTCACACGAGAGACGAGGAAACTGAAAATCAGAGAGGGAAAGCAACCTCTCCAAGGTCACCCATCCAGGAGGGAAGAGCAGACCTCACACCTAGGTCTGCCGCTTCCAGGCTGCACAGCCACAGCGGCCTGACTCCCAGGTCACCAGAGAAGTCATCAGAATGTTCCAGTGCACCTGTCTCTGGCTTCACTTCTTACTGCAGTCTGCTTGCGCTGGCAGAAACGTGCGTTCTGACGGCTGAGATGCATCGAACAATCCTGCCTCAGGGGGATGCTGTGTCCCGTCAACTCTGGGGGCCAAACACAATTCTCAGTAACGCTCACGTCCCCAGAGGTCATCAGAATGCCCAGATGTGACCTGGGAGGGCAGGGGAGGCTGGCAGGCCCTCTGGGATGCACTGGCCACATTTAGAAACGTGAATCCGAGATAACCCTTCAGCTGGTTCCTGGGGAGCCAGCCACAGCAGCAGCACCTGCCGGGAAGAAACCTGGGGAGCAGCCCGAGAGACTGTTCTGGACTCTGGAAGTTTCTGGCTGCCCTCATGGGTGCTGGAGGCTGGGCAGTGTCTGAGCATGGAAGCACGGGCCACACCCCCGGGTAAGTTCTGCACATGAGCAGTCACTGTCAGCTCTCAGGGTCAGAGGGATGCTTGCAGGCGATCACTCTACAGCTCCCTCGGCTGCTGGCACCAGCCCAGCCTACAGCCGGGGCCATCTCACAGGTCCAGGTGAGTGGCAGGCACCGGAACCACGAGGTGGTGGATCTGTTCCTGGATGTCAGCAGAGGCATCTCCGTGGCCTCCACACATGGACTCTGTAAGGCCTCTGGAGGTTAAACAGACATTGTCCAATCAGAGAGCACTCGCGCTACCTGGAGGCGGGGAGCGCACTGCCTCCTCCCTGGATGATATGGGATCTTCACCTCCCTCGCTCTAGACACTTGACCTCTTATAATGCAGCCTCCGGCCAGAGTCAGCTCAGTAGCAACCACATGGTAACATCGCTTCCATCAACCCTGCTGGTGAAAGTAGGGAGCACCTTCGCATTTCAATGACCTCACGAAACCTCGGTTGAACAAAAGCGCGAAGTCCCCTGGGCTTTCCTCTAACGAACGGGATTTAGTCCACAGAAATTTCTTTGAAAAGAAAAGAGCAGAAGTCTTTTACTCAGTGCAGAAGCTGTGCCACCTCGCAAGTCCTGGCTTTTCACGGCTCCCACGGACACGGAGCCCCGTTCTGTGCCTGAGCGTCCGCAGGTCCTCCCTCCCGTCACGAGCGGCCTGGGAGGTGTGCGCTGACCCCTCGGCTTTACGGGTGAAGAAATCCAGGCACAGGGGCTGAGGAATTCGCCCAAACACACACAGCACGTCAAAGGAACCAGACTCGGCGTCCAGCACCAGACCTGCCCTCTTTTCTCAGCAAAGCAAAGCCAAAGGACTTTGGGGAAGGTTTCTCCACCGTAAGAGGTTGAGGCAGGAAGCTGGCCCCACGTGTTGGGAAGGTGTGTCACACAGGAGTGAACGGGTCCAGCAGTGGGCACGAGGTCACCTTCCCGCTGGACACGCTAAGGACAAAGGGCGTGTGGTTAAGTAAGAGGCAGCGCTGAGCAGGAAGTGCGGAGTGCAAAGTCAGACCTGGCGGGACAGCTCCTGACCTGGCACGGCCCGGGGCCAGCTGTTCCTTGGAAGTGAACTTTCCAGACAGCACCAGCTTAGCGCACTTGAACGACAGCGACATTTTGTTTGCAGCGTTCGTCAATTTTGATGAAGCTGAGTCCTTCTCTCTCGGAGCTTCTGACCTTCTGGAAACGGAGAAGAACACATCCAGGCAGCAGCCCGATGTCCCTGGTGCACGCCAGCTGGGCGGCCCTGGCACACAGCTCCTGCCGCCGGGCCTCGCTCCTCCAGGGGCGGAAGGCAGATCCCGCCTCCCCCGGCTGGTTCGCGGCTCATCGGAGACACCGTGCGTGCAGTGCCTGGCAGATGCTGGGCTCGGGAACGTGGTGGCTGCCCTGCCTTGTTCCCTTCTGCTGCCACGCACGCAGTGTCTTCCTGCCCCAGGCGCTGCACTGGCCATGCGTGGAGATGCACTTGGACTTCCAGAGGAAGACAGCTCCACGTGCCAGATGGCCCCAGATGTTTGGCTCAGAGGCTTGGAGCCACTTTCCATGGCTTTTTGAGTCTTTGCTAGCTGTCTGATCGAGACGGTCACTTTCAACGGTGGCCAATCCCTTGCCACATTCTGAGTTTGCTGCTTTTCAACTGCTGTGGGCCTAGAAAGCGGGGCACCTGGTTTGTTATGCATCGGTGTGGAGCAAAAGGCTGTCCTGCCAGGGCAGTGGGCGGGACACAGGGACCACACCTGCTGCCCAGCACAGAAGCACCCCTGGGCCACCATCTGGCATTTGCGCGACCACAGGAGCCACACAGTCAGGCCTGGGGCTCCAAGGAGGGGCTGGGGTGCGCATCCATCACCTTTGCAGGATGGCGCTCCTGGAGGGTGAGACCCCTGTCTGCTCTTCCCCAGGGGTTCCCGGTGCTCAGCACAGGGCCTGGCATACATTGGGCAATCGATAAGCACAGAGCGGCTGAATGACGGCATTGTCCCTGCAGCTCACTTGGTTCTCGCGGCTTTGGGTGGCTTTCGATTCCCCTGCCTCTGGTGGAAACGTGGTCTCAGGCCTGTGGTCCCTGAGCGGGCCCTGCTGGGTGACGAGCGACCGTCCTGAGCTCCCTTTGTAGCTGCTCAAGCCAATTTGGTTCTTATTAGCTGCAGCCCTGGATGATGTGAATATTTGCTAAAAAAAAAAAAATCCAATTTCCTCTTTTTATTAAGTTTCTTTTTGTCCCTCTCCTCTCCATGCAAGTAGGACATTTCCTTTTCATCTGAAGCTTTGTAACAATAACAGCAATAAACCCGCACATCACGAAAGCAGCGAGCAGCTGGGAGGGCGTCCTCCCTGCCGTGGCCTTGCTCAAGTCTCTCCGCAACCCTGTAGGGCAGTCAAGGCAGGACCTGCTGCTTCTGCTTTAGAGATAAGGCTGCTAGGGACCAGAGATGTGAAGGGACCTGCCTGAGGTCACACAGCTGCCAGCGCTGCACCTGGAACCCAGATCAGAGTGCTAGAGAGCGCAGAGGACAGAGAAGACGAAAGCCACGAGCCCCACTGCCACTGTGCTGCACCCAAAGTGAACATTTGGCCACAGGGCTATAAATAGGCTTCGCGCCTGCAGGCGTCGGCCCTCCCATGGGGTGCAGTCCCAATGTCAAGATCATGGCAGCCTGTGCATGGGGAAGACTCGCTTGCTTCCATCTGGTCTCTGCTCAGCCCTGGGAGAGCCCCTGCTCTGAGGAGCCGCTCCTCCATGCCCTGCTGCTCCTGACCTGGCAGCAAGACGTGAGCAGGCTGCATCGGAGGGTCCCGCCGCAGCCCGCTGGACACTCCCCAGGGAACGAGGCCGCTGGGGAAGAAGACAAACCCCATCTGAAACACCAGGAGCCTAGCGAGACGGAGAGGAAAGGGGATGCAGCCCCACGCCGTGTGGACAGCAGGCAGCTGGGGGCGTGGGCTCACAAGGACAGCCCCGCCCACTGTCCTCACACTGGACAGGGCACCGGGAAGCTCATCCCAGCCATGCTCGGCTGGAATCAGAACACAAGGTCTGTGTGTGCATCTTGCAGGCTGCAGATGGCCTGGGCCAGCTGTGGCATCCGCAAGGATCATGTTGATTCACTTATTGTTCCTGGAGGGATCGGCTTCCCTCATTGGATCAGCATCGATCCCCACCCTAAAAGAGATCATAGTCTCCAACCTTAAATGCTATTTTCCTGTTGAAAATGGGCTCTCTGGAGGCCAATGCTGCAGCACGGTTGGACTGGTTCAAGTCCCGGCTGCTGCACTTCCCATCTAGCTCTCCACTAATGTGCAGCAGAAGATGGCCCAAGTGCTTGGGCCCCTGCCACCCATGTGGGAGGCGTGGATGGAGTTCCAGGCTCCTGACTTCTTCCTGGCCCAGTCCCGGCCATTGTAGCCATTAGGGGGAATAAATCAGAAGATGGAAGATATTCTCCCCTCTCTCTGCCCTCCCCCATCACTCTTTCAAATAAGTAAAACAAATCTTGAAAAGAAATTGACAAAATGGGCTCTTTCCAGACTTCAGGTGCTGTGCAAATGGCCTTTGCATTCAATCCTCACAACAATCCCATGACACAGGTACCCATTTTACAGATGAGCAAACTGAGGTGTAGAGAATGTAAACATGCCCAACTTCAGTGCTAAGCAGTAGAGCAGGGAATCAAGGCTACACTGACTCTTGATTGCCCAGCTCCATCCGGGGTCTCCCTGAAATGTCAGCTTCATCACCTCTCCTCCTCCTGGGAGAAAGCAGAGGATGACCGGCAGTCCTCATGTGCTCCTGAGACTTGAGGATGAGCAGGCCCCTGTGATGCTGGCTCGGCCTCTCTCTGCTCCGGCTCCTGATCTCTCTGAATCCCCGCATCTGTCTTAAATTGGGGCACCAGGAGCTGGGCAGGCCACTGCAGGCGGGGTCTGTCCCACAGGGAGCAGAGGGCCCACCCTGACCTGCTGTGGACAGGCCGTGTGAGGTCACCCCAGCCCTCGGCCAGCTGTGCTCTGAGTGTTGAGAACAGAGAAGACTTTGGTGGGCTCCAGTGGGGAGCTCAGCCACGCCCCACCCCCTGGACAAAGGCAGCTTGATTTACTCTGCTCCAGTCTCTTAGAGCCATTCGATTTCATCTTCCTGTATTGAATCAAATGTTTCAACCCACGAAGGCTCTTTGCACCCTTGCTGTGTCATCTAACATATCTCGTAACTTCTGGAATGCTTGCAAGCCTGATACTTACATTGCCATACAGTTTACTGCAAACAGGTCAAAGAGAACAGAAGGTGTGGCCCATCACTAGCGACTACGCCGAGAGGAACCTCAGTCCAGGAAAAAGACTCACGTACCGGGCCCTTTTCTCCCCGTCTGGGGTGCAGGAAGGGGAGGCACCCAAGGAACCAGATTTAGCCCCTGTACTGGAGCCTTACCTGTAACTTAAGGTCAAAGGTCATTTGGGGGAAACCTCTTCTTTCAGATTAGACTGGAGCTCTCTTGACTGGGGACTGAGCCTCGGCTCTGCTGAGCATTGGTGAGAGCCCTCGGACAAGCCCTCTCACCTCTCGGGCCTCTGGGATCTCATCTGTATAAGGGGACGATCAGTTCTTCACATGCTCATTGAGAAGATGGGACGGGAAGAAGTGTAAACAGGTGCGTTGTCACCTGTCACTCCCCAGACAGCGAACTGTGAAGGATCGAGGCACTGTGTGGGGGAGAGCTTGTCCTGCACCTGAGCCCCGAGCCCTGCCTACGGGACAGGCAGGGTCCCGGCCCCTTGCTCTGTGCAGTGCACACAGCGGGGCTCCAGGAAGCACAGAGAGGTTGAGCGGACTCAGCAAGGGCACACAGGGCCTGCGCGAGGGGTTCGATGGGCCTTTGGGAAAGCGAGGGCCCTATTCCCCCAATGCGGCAGTGCTCTGAGCTCCCCGAGAAGGGGAAAGAACAGGTGCACACCACTTCGGCAGTCCTGCAGCCCTGCCCACCAAGCCCGCAGGGAGAGGCAGCCCCAGGCAGACACCCACTGCGCCGCGGTACTCACACAGCAGAACACTTTGGCCGCCATGTTCTGGTCGAACTGGCCCAGGATGATCCGCACGTCATTGCCCTGTGGACAGAAGGACACGGGTGAGGTCGGGGAGCCCCAAAGGCAGAGGACACTCCTGTGCCCCAAGTTCCAGGGTGGGCAGGGCAGTCAGCCTGCCCAGGTCTCATGGGCAAGCCCTGGGCAAGACTGAGTGGCTGGAGATCGAACCTAGGGTCATCGAGATAACAGTAACTGCGCCAGCACCATGGCTCACTAGGCTAATCCTCCACCTTGAGGCGCTGGCACACCAGGTTCTAGTCCCGGTTGCCCCTCTTCCAGGCCAGCTCTCTGCTATGGCCCGGGAAGGCAGTGGGGGATGGCCCAAGTGCTTGGGCCCTGCACCCGCATGGGAGACCAGGAGAAGCACCTGGCTCCTGGCATCGGATCAGCGCAATGCGCCAGCCATAGCGTGCCGGCCGCGGCGGCCATTGGAGGGTGAACCAACGGCAAAAAGGAAGACCTTTCTCTTTGTCTCTCTCTTGCTCACTGTCCACTCTGCCTGTCAAAAAAAAACAAAAACAAAAACAAAAACAACAACAACAACAACAACAAAAAAACAAAACAGTAACTGCACACACACACACAGCACAGCACAGCGAGCTACAGATACTCCGGAGGGAGCCACGCCCTCCCCTGGCCACAGCCTGGTGACCCGGGCTGTGACAAGCTTGCCTCCCACCCCGCCCTGTGTCTCAGTGACTTCCTCAGAAGCCACTGTCCTCGTCAGAGACCCTTTCGTCCTGCCATCTCGTCATGTCTCTACCACTCTTTGTCTCAAACGTATCAAAGCCTCCTGCTGTGGCCGCTCCTCGGCACTGCCCTGTCTCGCACAGACCTCTGGACCCATGGAAAGTGGGTGGAACTTGTGTGCTTTTTCTCGTGCTCATCGGCCTGCTGTTAATTTGGTCCCGAGGCTCAGCCAAAGAGCCCGCCTACACACTAGGGAGTGGGAGGAGGGTCTCTCCCTCTCTGACAAGTAGTGCCTACCTGGTGGCCTTGCTGGGTGCACCAAGTGAGACAGGCCTTGTGAAGGGCCCAGCACGCTGCCTGGCACACAGGAGGTGCCCACATGCCAGCTGGTGGCAGTGGTTTGTGACTTTTCCCCAGGCCATCTTTATTTCTAATGGAATCCCATTCATTACCTCCCTGTGCTTAACAGGTATCTACAGTATGACAGTCCCTGTGACTCATTTATTCATTCAACAAACGTTTACTAAGCTTCTGCCTGCAGCTCCCTCCTGGGTTAGGATAATGGGCCCTTGAATACTTTCCAGGGGGCCTGGGATCCAGGCTGGGCCCAACTGGTAGGGAGAAACTGGAGATGAAGCACACAGCCAGCAGGAGGCCAGCCAGACCCTGGCCCCACACCTGTCCCTACCCCAGCCACTTCCAGCCCCGCAGGCAGGGCCTCCTTCCTGCCGCTCATCTCCTCTGCTGGCCCGCAGCCCTTTGATGCACACGGAAGACAAACACGCCAGTGAAGATGGGTTTTTAGCATCTTTCCAAATTGGAAAGTGCTGACTGGGAGGCCATTTTCCTCATCATGTACTTTAGCAAAAATAAAAAGAGCCTGGATTCTAAAATCATCCTTCGTTTGCAGGCAAGAATGGAAAGAGGAAAAAAAAAAAAAAAAAACAACCCTTGCGCTGAAAGGACTTGAAAGATCCTTAACAGAGCAGTGGAAGGCAGGCGAGCCTTTGTCACCGCCGTGTCTGCAATGCTATAAAAAGTTCTGAGCTCTTCTACCCGTGGACTAGCTCCCAAGGCGGCTCCAGGTCTTTCTGCTTTTTGTTGATATCTTTCAGCATTTTTTGCTGCTAACAGTATCCAGCCAGCCAGCCAACAATGATTGAACATCTACTTTGTGCCAAACCCCTTGCTGCTATACATGGTAGAGTTTTGGAGTTGGAGAGACCTGTGTTCAAATCCCAGCTCCGCCACTGGCTGGCTGCACGGCTCTGGATTTTAAACCCTGCAGCCTCTGAAATAGGGGTGGTCCCCCCTGCCTCGCAGGGTGGCTGCAGGATTCCTCATAAAGGACCCACCGATCGCTCAGCTTCCGCAACACTTCCTCCCGGCTCCCTCCCGCCTCCTGCTCTCCCCGGCTCAGGCTTCTCTGCCCCAGCTCCTCCTCTCTGTCCTCAACGGCAGGTGTTCCGCCCTTAGCTCTTTGCTTCTAACCCTCTCCCTGGGCAGCTTCATTCACGATTCCTTCCTCAGTGGCCCTCTGTGTGCTGTGAACTCCCAATTCTCTCTCCCCAGCTGCCCACTGGACGGCTCCAGTTGGATTCTCCCTGGCACCTCCAATGTACCACGTCCTGAGCTGAACTCATTTCTTGCCCACCAAGCCGCTTCCTCCACCTGTGTTCCCACCTCCGGGACTGGTACCGCCAGCCTCCCACTCACCCAAGTGAGGACCTGGAGAGTTATCCTGGAACCACTGCTCTCCTTCGCTTCCCACATGGAAGCCACAACCAGTGTCTGCAGGTTCTGCCTGCTCACCAGCTCCCACCTCAGGCCCCTCTCTCCAGCCCCACCGCCCTGGGTATTGACTGTCACCAGGGCTCCTGACCCCGTGACTAGCAAATGCCTCCCAACTGGATCCCTGCCTTTAGTCCTGCCCACCCACCCCAATCCCGGCAGACGAGATGAAGGGAGCGCCCCAAGATTGAAACCATCTCCCCACGCTCCCTGAGGTTTACAGATCTCACACTCAAGAATCCTCACCAAGTGACTCCCGCTCTCCCTCCGTGGCAGGGCGCAACTAAGCGTGCCTCCTTCAAACAGGTCTGCTCTTCACTCACTCATTCATTCATTCATCTCCACACCCCCCCCCCCCTTCTGCAAGCTCTTTTACCCAGAAGGCCCCTCTCTCCCATCCCGGATAGCTGGCTGTTCTCAGATGGCTTCTGCCCAGTGTCCCTGCCCCAGCTCAGACTCCCCTACCCTGAGAAGCCATCTCTCTGTCCCACTGGACTTGGTAGCCACTTCCTCCCCTGGGAGTCCAGGACACTCTGCATGCCCCTTCATCATGGCCCAAGTCTACTTACTGGCCTGTCTTCCCCACTGGGCTCCCAGTACGGGGCCCGACACACATCTCAAGGTGTGCTGAATGCACGATAAAGTGAACGGATGCTGTGTGCAGCACCAAGCGTGACACCTGGCCCACCCTGCTCACTGCACCCATCTCCTAGAGCCCTAGGCCTAGCCCTCACTGGGATCACCAGATCCATTTCTCCAATCGACGGAGGGGCCATGGCTGACCGCCTGGCCACCTGCTGACAGATAAATAGCTGGCTCTGCCACTTGTGGACCATTAGTGTCTCTGTTGTCATGACAACACAGTGCAAGGACCACTTGGTTCTATGCTCCCAAACTGTCAGGTTTGGATGGGGCCAAAGGATCACCATCTAGTTAGCCCCTTGCCAGGAAGCAGAAGGCTCTTTCTGAGGCTGCGCAGCACCCCAGAGCCAGAGCCCCCTCCTGAGTGCCTCCTGCCCACCTGAGGGCCCCGGGGAGGGATCCTACCCAGCGCCAGGTGTTCCTGACGTGGGATGCTGTTCACCCACGAGGAATATGGAGCAAGATGCTGCAAAACCTGGGAGGGAAGAGGAGGAGCCAGCCTCGGCGCACCTGGAGCCCAGAATCCCAGGACAGGCAGAGGCCAAGGGACCTGCGACTGGAACCCCTGGGGGGCACCTTGAGAACAGCAGGGAGAGTTTGTGGTGCTTATCAAACTGGGGTGTGTGCATTCCAGGGCGAGAGCAGATGTGAGCAGCCCTGATGAGTGGGCCTGGGGATGGGGAAGGAGCTCTGGGGTGGGGGGCAGAGGGCCAGAGTGACACAACAGATCCACAACTTTACAGCGAGCGGGCGCATGGCAGAGGGTGGGTCCCCGGGGAGTCTGGTGCCCTTCCCTGGTCTTGGCTCTGCAGGGGGGTGCCTGCAGCGACAGTCCATGACAGTCCTCAGCGCACTCCCACTTGCAACCTGGCCTCACCACCCGGCCTGGGCTGCTGAACTATCAGATGGCACTGCATGTGTGGCGGGAAGGGAGGCAGTGCCTGATCCGGGCAGAGGCCTGGCCCAGGTGGAGGATGCCCAGGCCACCCTGTGGCCGGGGTCTGGCCGTCGTGCCCAGGGTAAGCCCCAGAGGTTTCCAAGGAGACGTCCCCCAGGACTCACTCGGCTCTGACAGAGGGACCTCACATCCCGCAGGAGGACTCATTCCTCGAGCTGAAATTGGTCTTTCTTTGACTTCTCCTCAACAAGAAATCTCTGCAAAGGCTGAGAATAGGAAACGAATCCGGGCTCACTCGCACCCGGGTGAGGGAGGTAGCCGGGGAGGGGCAGGGAGAGGAGGGAGGGAGCCCGCAGCCCCGCCATTTCCTTAAAGGTGGCCATCCTGCTCTGCTACTCCATGTCCCTGAGCAATGCTAGCCTGCTGGGCGGGGGCCCAAGGCCCCCCATGAGTGAGCTTTTGAACTTCAGTGTCAGGAGGTCAGGCGTGTGTGTGTGTGTGTGTGTGTGTGACCCAGTTCCCGTCTGGTTGGGGCAATGGGGGGCAGCTCCCACTGGGACTCACCCCTGGGTCAAAGGGGAGGGTAGGGTAGTCGGTCTCAAGGCCTGTCTTTGTGGCCTTCTGACAGGCAGAGGAATGTCCCCTACCAACACAGCCCCTTCCTCATCCCCAGGACCTGCGGGGCGGCAGGGGTGGGGGTAGGGGTGGTGGTTCTGGTTGCAGAAGGAATTGAGGCTGCTGATGAGCTGGCCTGGGTCAGCCAGATGGGCCCCAAGTGATCAGCAGAGTCCCGAAGTGTGCAAGAGGGAGGCAGGAGAGCCTCAGAGGGAGACAGGCCCCGCCCTGCTGGTGCTAAGGATGGAGGAGAGAGCCATCAGCCAGGGACTGCAGGCGGTGTCTAGAAGCTGGGAACACCAAGGCCAGGCGTCACCCCCAAGGCCTGCAGAGGAGACACAGCCCTGTGCTGTCGCGGCTGGTGGGACCCACGCAGGACCTTTGA